AGCTCTCATCAGATTGGGTGTAAAAGGAGTGTACTTCAATTTAATAAAGGTCATATATGAAAAAACCCACTGTTAATACTCGGTGGTGAAAAGCTGGAGGCTTTTCCTTTAAAATCAGGGATAAGACGAGGGCTCTCACTCTTACCACTCCTGTTTAACATACTACTGGAGGTGCTAGCCAAACTATTAGACAAAAAAGAGAAATAGAAGTCACTCATATCAGAAAGGGAGTTATATTATTTCTGTTTGCATATTACATAATCTCATATATAAAAACCCTAAAGATTCAAACCCCCCAGTAAATTTACAGGATATGAAATCAACATACTGAAGTGAGTAGTATTTCTATACACTAAAAAGAAAATATCTGAAAGAATTGTTTTAAAAACCACAATCTCATTTATAATAGCATCACAAATAATAAAATACTTAGAAAAAATCTAATCAGAGATGAAATGTATTTACATTGAGATCTATAAAACTTTGATGAAAGAAACTGAAGAAGAAACAAATACCATATTCATGGACTGGAAGAATTAATATTGTTGAAATATTCATACTACACACAACCATAGATTCAATGTAATCCCTGACAAAACTTGAGTGGCAATTTTCACTTAGAAATAGAAAAGGCAATTCTAAAAAATTTGTATGAAATCACAAAATACCCTGAATAGCCAAAAAACTTCATGAAGGAAGAATAAAATGGTGTCACACTTACTGATTTCAAACTATCCTGCAGAGTTGTGGTAATCTAAACAGCATGGTACGGTCATAAAAACACACGTAGACAAATGGAAAAGAATCGAGGGTAGAAAAATAAATCTATACATATACAATCAACTACTATTTGACAAGAGAACCAATAACACTCAGGAGAAAGAATAATCTCTTCAATAAATGGTGCTGGGAAAACGAGATTCATATGCAAAAGAATGAAATCTTACAGTACTCACAAAAGTTAACTTGAAATGGATTACAGACATAAATGTAACGATATTGCAGAACTCCTACAATAAAACATAGGGAAAGATCTCTTTGACATTGGTTTTGGCAATGATTTTTTTTTGATATGACACTAACATATCAAGCAACAAAAATAGAAAATAAAACAAATGGGACTTCATTGGACTAAAAAGCTTCTCTGCACAGCCAAGGAATCAGTCAACAAAATGAAAAGCCAACCTGCAAAATGGGAGAAAATATTTGCAAACCATGTATCTCGTCAGGGGCTAATATAAAAAATATGTAAGGAACTCATACAACTCCATAGAAAAAAACCAAACAATCTGATTTAAAAATGAAAAGACAATCTGAATAGACATTTTTGTAAATAAGATATACAAATCACATCCGGTGTACTACAAGATGCTCAACGTTACTAATTAACAGGGAAGTGCAAATGAAGCCACCATGAGTTATCAGGTCACATCTGTCAGAATGGCTATTATTAATAACATAAGAGACAGATAACAAGTGTTGCAGAGATGTGGAGAAAAGGAAATCCTAGGACACTTCTTGTTCGAATGTAAATTGCTACAGCTACTATGGAGTTTCCTTCAAAAATTAAAAGTAGAGCTAGCAATCCTACTTTTCAGTATATCTCTGAAGGAAGTGAAATCACTCTCTCATACCTGTGTCCCCATGTTCACTGCAGCATTATTCACTATAACCAAGACGTAGAAACAACCTAAGTGTCCACTGACAGGTAAATGGATAAAGGGAATTTGGTACACATTTATGCTATAGAATATTGTTCAGCCATTAAAAAAGAAGGAAACCTGCTATTTGTAACAACATGGACCTTGAGAGCATTATGCTAAGTGAAATAAGTCAGGCAGGGAAAGACAAATACTGTGTGATCTCACTTACATGTGGAATCTTAAAAAAAAGGCCAAACTCGTAGAAATAGAATGGTGACTGCCAAAGGATGGGATGAGGGAAATGGGGAGGTGTCCCTCAAAGTGTACAAACTTCCAGTTATGAGATGAGTAAGTTCTGCAGATCTAATGTACATGGTGATTATAGTTAACAATAGTATATACTTGAAAGTCAGTAAGAGAGTACTTCTTTAATGTTCTCGCACCCCCAAAAATGTGCAGTTATGTGAGGTGATAGATGTGTTAACTAACCTTATTGTGGAAAACATTTTGCAATATATATATTGCATATTGTGCACCTTAAAATAATGCAATGTTATATGTCAATTTTATGAATAAAGCTGGAAAAATTAAATATATATACCAATATACAAAGAATTCTCAGAAATCAGAAGAAAAAGTCAAAATGTCCAATTAATAAATGAACAAAATAGTTCAACAGGTTTTTATCAAAAGAAGGTATCCAAATGGCCAGTACAGATGGAGTTCAAATCATTAGTCATTTAGGAAATTCATATTAAACTAAAATAAAGCATGAAAATACATATTGAAGAGGATCTGGAGAAACTGGAACTCACATACATTCTAAATTGGTTGAAGTACTTTGGAAAACTAATAGTATATATTAAAATCAAACAGTTGCTTAACCTAAGACGAATTAATTCCACTCCCGGGTATACCTCAAGAAAAACATATGTGCACAAGTCTACCAAAAACATGCTCAAGAATGTATGGTTTATTCATTATTACTCAAATCAACTTTATTCATTATTGCTCAAATCTAGAAACAAGCCAAATGTCTATCAACAAGACCATGGGAAACAAATTATTGATACATGGGTGAGGCTCACAGACATAGTAATGTATTAAAACAGACACAGTGGAGAACATATGCTCAATTCCATTAATATGATATTTAAGAGCAAGAAAAACAAATGTATGGTGATAGAAATAAAAATATTGGTTACTTCTTGGCAGAGGGCAGTTATTGACTGTGAACAAGCACAGGGGAGCCTTTTGAGGTCCTGGAGATGATGTTATTTTGACCTGGGTTTTAGGTTGCATGATTGCATTGAAATGTAAACATTCATTGAGCTGTACACTTAAATCTGTGCCCTTTTCTGTCTATATATTATGCCTCAATGAAAATAATAACGAAATGCAATTTGGCAATGGTGTTTTGGAATAGACCAAATATCTGATGTTCTGAAATGATCCTTAGGGATTTTTTTATGAAAAGCAACCTGTCAGAGCAGCTTAAACAGAACCATTGGTCTTTTGCTTGTGAATAACGTATAAGCATAGATCATGCAAAAAACAAAGGCCAAGAGAAAGAAGGATTTCTGTAGTAGTTCCCCAGAAAATAAGAGGGCTGAACAAATTAATTCAACTGCAGCGCAGGTCTCAATAGATTACCATCCAAATACTGTAAGATTTCATCTTTTCCAAGAACTGACTTCTGGTCAAAGATGGTTTCTGTAGACTTGCAGGATGACATGAAGTGTTACTGCTTTGGGGGCGCTATAGAAAGACAGTTTTTATATTTCAAGCCAGACCTAAATACCAAAAGTAAACTTTTGTGGTATTTGAAATTAGCATTGGTTTGGAAGTCAGGAGGTCTGTGGTCTAAACTTCATTTTGTTATCGAACTCCACGATCTGCAGTGATTTACGCCATCTTTGAGACTGAGCTTTCTTTCCTGTAAAATGCAGAAGTAATTTTTTTTCCTAAGTAGCAGAATTATTTTTCCAAGTGATTTTTAATAAAATTTAAAAAAAGAATTAAGATCTGTCCTGGTTAACGGTCAGGTGGTGTTGCGGCCTAAGCGTTGTCTTCCAGCCTCCCATTTCGTCCACCACGGTGTCCTGCAATCCAAGATGGTTGAAACACCCCTAGAAGTAGATACTACCCAGCTCTGGCATTCAAAGATGAAAGAGAAATATCAAAGGCACTGCCCACACAGACTTGCTTATCATTTTGAATTTTAGTCAGCGATTCTGCTTCAGACACTGTCCTTAGAAGAGGTAATATTACTCCTTTTCGTGTTCATAGAGATCCTTGTTTGCAGGTGCCTGCTCCCTTAAGCTTCACAGGAGACACTGCACGGAAAGAAGCAGCCTGTAATGGGAGATGAAATCAGGCTTAGAATCTTCTTTTCTTACCCTCCCACTTAGATTCTCTTCTTTAGAACCTGATGCACCGCCCCCTCAGAGTGCCCTTGGCCTCTTCATCACAGCCCTTTGATCAGTGTGTATTCCCTCTCAAGGATCTAATTACATTTTGGATCTAAAGACCTTGCTGGCAATGTTGACACTGACATCCGGAATAAAAAGGAAAGAAAAAAGTCGTGTAGTGGAAGGACCTTTGAAGGCAGTCATCCTGGACTTCAGCTCGCCTATGTGGCCTTGGCAAAGACAAAATATTTCTCTGAGCCACATTCATCATTCACAAAATGGGAATAATAAACTCCCTGTAGAATGCTATATGGACTAAAGTCAGTATATATGATGTGCTTAATATCATACTTGGCACATAGCCTACATCATGAAACCGTAGCTATAAAAGGTTGAACTAGTTTATAGTAGCTTATACAGTTGGACCCAGTTAAACTCTCCACAGTATTTTATATTAGAGAAAATATTGGACCATCTGAGTCATGGTTTTCTGAAAATATGGTAGAGTAATTTTATGAGGGCTAGGAGTTTGCTAGTAGCTTAATATTATTAAGAATATCTGAGTCTTGGGGGTAACCTGGGAAGGAAAACTCGTACATTTCAGATTGTTAACAGGAGCAGGATTACGGCTGTGCGATGAGACCTTGAACAAATCACACAACAGTTACTAGCTTCAGTTTCCACATAAGTAAAATAGGGACGATAATGTTTTCTGCCCAGAGTTAATTATGAAGATTAAATTAATTAATTAATTGGTATGAGTCTTCTTATTTGAGATAAGCAATTGTATTTATTCATCCTTAGAGAATGAGAGATATATATGCCAAATGTAATGCCTTGGTAAATTAATTTGCTAATCAAAAATAAAATACAACCTTGTCATCTAACACATAAATACGACCTGGGTATCTAAATCACTTACCTAACCATTCATGGTGCTTGATAGCATTGGGGATGTACTGATTATGTCTGGAGGAAAAATGGGTTGCTAAAAAGAAAATCAGAAGCAAACATCCTTGAATGATGAGATAGTGAATGGTTCCCATGGGCATGTCAAATTAAGGCAAAAAAAAAGAAAAACTACTGATAAAAAATCTGCAGATGTGTCATAGACTATGTAGGTAATCTTTGAGAACTAAGACAGAATGGGGGCTATGTCAAAAGACTAAAGAAATGGGTGATGGGAAGTAAATGAGTTGTTCAGAAGGTACCTACTGCAGAGCAGGCATGTTCATATTCGTGATTTCAGAAAAATCCAGGAGGAATCTGAGGATCAGTGACCTGCCTAAAGGAACACAACTAGTAAGTGGTTGAACTAAAATTTTAACTCAAGTCTGTCTACCTATAAAACCAATGAATTTTCACTAATATTTCATTCATACATTTATGTACTCTTTCCTTTATTCATTCAACAGTGTCAGACAATGAAATGAAAGCAGTAGACTAGGCAGGCACTAGCCCGGCCCTCCCAGAGCTTACTGTCTGGTTGAAGGGGAGTAAAAACCAAATAAATACACATAAATGCTTATGATAATTATATTTTAATAAATTTAACTTCTAATTGTGCATTTATAAATTACAATTTATAATTTAGTAAATATATTTATACACAATTATGATAAGGAATTCTATAAGAAAACAAGCACATTGTTGAGATAAAAAAAGAATAAAAGATACTGTGAATGGGACTTACTTGGAAAAGAGAAACCATATATGTCTTCTTGGAAGAGGTGAGATCACAACTGAAAGAAGGATGAGAATTTTGAAATTGAATAAAGGAAGGCTTATTTAAAATAGAGCCAGGAGACCAGAAGGGGGATGTCTCACACCTCTTGCAGACCCAACAGGAAGAAACATGCCTTGCATTCTCAACAGGAAGAAACCTACTCTACTACCAAGAAGGAGGAAGATTTTCTCCTTGCCCAGCAACAGTCCAGCCAACCAGAGACTACCACAACTCAGCCAATGAGAAGCCACTACATTTTGAACTCCCCACTTCCTCCAATGGCCTTTTTGTTTATAAGAGCGCCTAGCTTTATAAACCTTTTTCCTGTATAAAAGAGCATCCTCTCATTTGTTCTCAGTACCTGCCTATGGCTTATGCTATAGCTTCCTTATCCTGAACTGCAGCTCCTCTGCTATTGCTGAGTAAATCCATATTGCTGGTAAAGTAACTGGCTATTTTACTCTAAAATTGACAGAATGAACTAACCACACAAACAGGGAGAAGAACATGAACACCATGCCTTCTCCCTACAGTCAAGCCAGGTGAGGTCAAATTTGGCTCCTCGAAATCTACAGCACATTATTGTTAAGCAGAAAAATAGGTGTGAGCAGGTGGATGGAGAATAAGTCCAGTAAATCCCACTAAAAGGAACTCAAGGAGTTAAACAGATAAAACTAAAGAGGCAGAGAGGACTCACAGAGTTAATGAGTTATCAGCTGATGCTCCAAGGGCCAGGAAGTAACTGAAAATGTCTGGATATTCCCCAAAGGGAAGATCTGAGCACAGTCCATGTCTTCATTGTATCAATTCGATCATGCCACTGGAAGATTCACTTCAGCCTGCTAAAAGGCCCAGTTTATTCTTTAACGTGACCCATATGCTGTTTTTTCCTCTTCCTCCAGCTCCTAATCAAGTAACTTTGTAACCAGGGTAGGACACAGACCTCCAAAGTGTAAGACAAAGAATGCTGAAGTCCCAAACCAACACAGTCACCTAAATAACCCTGTTCTTAAGACAAAACTCCAAAGGAATTATGAATTCCTGTACACTTCATGCCCTTTGCTGACCATTACCCAAAAAAGCCCTATAAACCCCCAGGCCCCAAACCCTTAAGCACGCCTCCTCTCTGAGGTGGCCCACACTCGCCTTTTTTTGAGTGTGTCCCTCTCTCTGTCCTACTTCAGGTAAGTAGGGAGGGGCTGCTGAGAGCTCTGATCTGGGGCTTGCGAGCTCCCCTCGCCTGGGGGACCCAGATGGGATCACAGCTTTATGATCATGCTCCTTAGTAGTCTGCCTGAAAATATCTTTTCTTTGCCTTTGGGAAGTTCTCAAAACATAATCTCACTGAATCCATAGTGGACTTGCCCCAACCAAAGTCATCTTACCTGGAAGTGCTTCTATATCTGTAACATCAGTAAAGATCCATCCACTCTTCGACAGCTCCCCCAAATCCTTGAGGACATGTTTAAAAGATAATACAAAACTAGATAGGTGTATACAAAACTACAAAATTCAAAATGTCTTAGGGTTGTTATACTCTATGTAAACCAAAACAATAAAAATAAAATGGAAAATACTATAATTCATATATTTAAAAATGATCAATACTACAAATGCAGATGTAGGGAAATTGGGGAATTTGGGGAATATCCAGACATTTTCAGTTACTGCTGGCCCTTGGAGCATCAGCAGTTTATTTGAGTTCTGGATGTTGAAGTTATCAGAAGCTTCAAAAAATCAACTGTGCCGTAAAATTACTGAATGAAATCTCGACTGATGAGAGTTCTGCGATCCGACCTGGCCAGAGCACATCTACTCCATTGTGTTCAGTTCTGAGCACCTCCCTTCTAAGAGCAATATGAAAAAAGTAAAAATGGTGAAGAGGAGAGTTCATTTGGCCCCAGCCATTCAATTGTATAATGGGATTTCTGCTTAGTGTTTATATACCTCTGCTCTTTAATTGCACCATTCTGCTTTCTGAAATGTGCATGGCTGTATCCATACATGAAATATATATCCCATTTGGAACTTAGATTTAAATGTAAATAAGACTTCCTCAGAGCACTGCTCTAAATACATTATCAAAAATTGACCAAGTCCCCTAGCCCCAGTCACCATCGATCGTGTTACTCTCTTCATTGAACATTTAACTCTCTGAAATTATCTTTTTCATCTATGTATTTAGGTGTTTGAAATGGAAGAATTTCAAATTTCCACAGAATTTCTAGACGTGGAAGGATGACTGCCGGGGTTTAGCTGTGTGGGGAAAATTGAAGTTCCTGTGGCCAGGATCCTCACCTGAACCTAGAATACTTGATGGTGTAAATGGCCTCCTGCCAGGCTACCAATTCCATGCCATCAGCAATAAGCTATCACTGACTGAGTCACTATATAAAGAGTTCTGCCCAGTGCTCTGGGTGGAGACAGAAATGAAGGAGGATTACAGACCTGCAGACTGTTGGATGCAGACATAGTTCTAGTGCTTGACCTACCACTGGGAGAACAAGCTGGTTGATAAACCCTTTTACCCCAAGAATGTTCCGTTGTCATTCTTTGGTCTCACTGAATCCATGGTGAACTTGCCCCAACCAAAGTCATCTTACCTGGAAGTGCTTCTACGTCTGTAACATCAGTAAAGATCCAGGGATACTTCCACTTTGCTCTCTCACTGAACCAGAGAAACTAACTGGAGAGATGAGTTTAGCAAAGCCTAGAACCAAGCAGAGCTCCATTCACTTATGAGTTATTTTTATTATTCTCTTATGTTACTAGTTTCACAAGCGTACAGGAAAATAAAAAAGAATGGAGTGGGGAGGGGAGTCTCATTTATTTATCTCAGTATTCCAACATTCTGTTGAGCAAAGGCCCTAATTATTAATTAATAAGTCAATTTCCCTAAGACATTATTTACCAGATTGGCTGCGTTAATGAGGATGTTTTGCATCTAATTTAATGCACTGCAATGAGCATTTTTATCACAAAAAGGACAAACCTTCTCTATATAATCAAAGCTCTTGTTAGCAGCAAACTTCTGGGAAATAATTCATTTCTAAATGGAAGCCACATGCACCACAAAATCTCTCCCAGGGGAAGGTGAGACTTTGAAGCATATGTTTAACAGGAGACAATCTCTCAGAAAAGGCTCTGAAGACTGTATTTTCATTGTTCATCCATGGTCTGCATAGCAGAGCTCACCATTTGGAGCCATCTACCTGAACTGATCCTGGGTAGTTATTCTTTGTTGCAAAGAAACCTGGTTTTCTGGCTTCCAATGCACTCTTAATTGAGTATTTTTCCAAATAACACTCCAGACCAATTCCTCCTACTCAGCATTAAAATCAGTCAGCGGTACCATTGTTCTTACCCAAGAGTTTAACAACACCAGGTACCTGAGGCATCAATTTCCACCCCACGCCAACTCCAATTAGTTGACAAGTCACTTGTTTCTGACAGCAATCTTTCAGCCAGTATCAGAGACACCTCAATACACAAGGCTTCAGAACCTCAACCATCTGGTCTGCCTGCCATAATACCAACAGTAAAGATGTGCTCAAGAATGTGAGATACAAAATCAGTAAATTGGAAGGGAGATTAGAGTTCTTTTGTGCCATCCTTTAATTTGCCTTCCTTCAGCACACATAGGCATCCCTCTCTTAAAATATACTCTTTGGGGCACAGTTGGAATTGCTCCTTTCCTTCCCTCTTCAGACGTTAAGATATTTAAAAGTTTTACAAGTGAGTTGCCTGTCTTTCCCTTGTTCTAAAGCAGAGCTTTCTATAATCTCCTTTCGACTCCCTGTTATCCAAAGTGGAGATTACCACAATATTACAAGAAACACACTTCTTACCATTTCCCTGGGGCACAGCAGATGACGGTTTTACACAGCAGAGATGAGAGACCGAATATGATGAAGGGGGTAGGCTATAAAGCCCACTCACCTAGGTTCAAATTCCGGCTCTGTTGCCTACCTGCCCTGAGGAGCTGGGCAAGGTAACTTAGCTCCATGAAGCATCAAGATCCTCAACACATCTGTGCCCCCAGAGAACTTTCCAGAAGCTAACACCAACCCACTCTTCTTCCACGAATAACCAAAAGTATAACAGTCTGGACAAATGTAAATCCCCACCCACAGAAAAATAGAAAGGGTCTTGAATACCTTGTTTGGAGTGGTATCACTCAAGGAAAGCTTCAGCCTAATTTTATTAAAAAATGTGTCCGAAGTCACATAATTAATTATTTTAGCAACTGCATATTCAGTGTGTACTATGTGTCTTGTACTGTTACAGGTGCTGGACAATGCCAGCCAAGTTTCTGCTGTATCATTAGGCTCCCATCTAGGAAGCAGATGGCTAACCAATGAATGAATCAATATATGGCAAATGGTGGTAAGTGCTAGGTAGTCAAGAAAAAGTGATGGTGGAATACTATCTTAGGGTAGTGTGATAGTAATTAGGATCCCTTTCTGAAAGGTGGCACTTGAACAGAGATGAGAATCAAGTGAGGAACCCATCCTGGGTACTCTCAGAGGAGAGTGATATTGGCAGGTGTCAAGTGCCCCAAGCAGGAACAAGCACGTCTGGCCACGTAGGCATTAAGAGGAAAGAAGAAGAAATGAGTCAGAAATCATAAGGTCATGGAGATTCATTGAGGCCACAGAAATATGGATCTGTGTATTTAATAAGTGAGGTGGAAGCCCCTATAGAATTATGACTTCTGTGTTAAGAATAACTAAGAGGCGGCGGGCAGAAGGTCATAGATAGGATCCAAATTCTGGACATTTTGTCCTATATTTAGGGGAAGCTGAATATCCCAGAATATCCATAGTTCACCTTTCAGTAGTCAGTAATTCTTTAGGTCATTAGAGATGACTTCCTACATCTCATTGTTCCCTCTTTGCCCAGGCAGGTGAGGTGAGATCTTAAGATGAATTCTGGGTTGCCTGAATGCTTGAGTCAGGAAAATGCAACCCTGTCCCTTCTGATGACCACATCAAAGACTTGTGTGCATGTGGTGAAGTACAAAGCACACTCACTAAAGGCAGGAGGTGCCCCTGTGTGACACTGGAGTCATCAAAACTTACTAAAATAGACGTGTTGTTTGTTTTTCTGAAAGAGAACTGCTAGAACAGTGCCTACACTTCCCAGTGACTCCTACTAGTATCTATCTCACTATGTTAGGACATCACTGAGAAAACCAGGCAGAATAATTCATACTCTGCAAATGTTTATATGAAAGAAACTTAGAAGTCTCCATTTTAGAAAAAATACTTGCAAAACGTACATCTGATGAAGGTCACTGAAAGTACATAAAGAACTTCTGAAAATACATAAAGAACTCACCAATAAAAGAGCAAACTACTAGTGAAAAAGCACCAAAGACCTTAACAGAAACCTCACCAAAGAAGATAGACAGATGTCAAATGAGCAACTGGAAAGAGGCTCCAAGTCATATGTCATCATGGAAATGAGAATTAAAACAACAATAAGGTATGTTTTGTGGACATCTTAGGATGTCCAAAATCTAGAATGTAGACAGCACCAAACGCTGACAAGGATGTGCCCAGAAAGCTCATTCATTGCTTGCAGGATGCAGACTGGTGGAGCCACTGTGGAAGACAGTGTGATGGTTTCTAAAACTAAATATACTCATCCCATGTGACCCAGTATCACACGTCTTGGTATTTACTCAAAGGAGTGAAGAATTGATGTTCATACAAAACCTACACATAGATCTTTATAGAAGCTTCATGCATAATGGCCAGCACTTGGAAGCAGCCAACATGCCCCTCAGTAAGTGGATGGATAAATGAACGGTGGCCCGTCCAGATGCTGGAATATTATTCAGCATGGATAAAGGAGCTATCAAGACACAGAGAAAACTTAAACTCATCTTGCTCAGTGAAAGAAGCCAATCTGAAAAGGTTATATACTGTATGATTCCAACTATAGAACATTGTGTAAAAGGTCAATCTATAGAGACTGCAAAAAGATTAGTGGTTGGGGGATTGACAGATGAATAGGTGGAGCCCAGAGGATGTTTAGGGCAGTGAAACTAGTCTGTAATGGAACTAGTCTGTATGATGCTGCAGTGGCTGATACATGTCATCGTACATTTGTCCAAACCCACAGAAGGTACGACACCGACTGTGGACTTTGGGTATCATGATGCATCAATGTACCTTTATCAGTTGTAACAAGTGCAGTACTCTGGTGGGAGCTGTTGATAGCGGAGGAGGCTGTGCATGTGTGGAGGCAGGGGTGGGTGGAATTTCTGTACTTTTCCTCTCAGTTTTGCTGTGAATCTAAACCTCTACTCTGAAAAACAAAGCCAACTCTTGAAAATAGGAAACCCCGTGATTTAAAGAATAACCTTAATGCATTCACTTATCCATGCCCCATTTTCCCATGAGTGTTTATTAAGCACTAACTTTGTGCTGAGCTGTTGAAAGCACCGGGGATGCAACAATGAACACAGATGATCCCTGGCCTAGAAGAAGAGGGGAGAAACAGTAAACAAGTACACAAAAAACAAGAGCATTTCAAATGCCATCAAGAAAAAAGAAAATGACATTGTCTGGGGTGTGAGGAGAAGGCAGCGTGAGGGTTGGTGTTTGGTCTCAAACTGGAATGCCCTGCAGAAAGTGGCCTTGCACAGATGTGCAGTGACTGCTGCCGGCACAGCTGCCCTGAGTGTCCACAGTGCCGGCAGTTAATCATCCCAAAGACAAGACTTCCCCGGACCTGCGTGCAGAAGCTGATGGAATCAAAAAGTAGCAAGTGAAGAACAGAAGTACCCAGACAGCCCTCCTGTGAACTAGGCACGGAGGGAAGTGCAGCTTGCGGCGGTCGGCCTCAGGGCTGCAGTCTCCTCTGGAAGGCGCTGAAAGATGCCAGCCTCCCGAGGGCCTGGGCTGTCTCCCAGTGACCCCTTTACCTCCGTGCCCTCAGCACCCTGGCTTTCTGCTTTTCCAGGACCGGCTACCGCAGTCATTCTCTGCTCCCAGACACACTGCAGGCCATTACCTCTCTCTTTTGCAGCATGAGGCACCAGAGGGGGGCTGCGATGGTGGGAGTTTCCTGCGCTGAAAAGAGGGGAGCGCTTCCAGGCTCACTCAAACAACACCTCTTTGGTTCCTCTCAGGTGAGGCCACCTTGGAGAATATGGAAGAGAAAGGGTCTCAGTGCCTCCTTTATCATTGCAATGCCTTGGTGTTTGGTTTGTTTGACCATTTTCCACATGGGGGACATTTCCATGTAACAGGAGTTCACCCCTTTGCCTTCCAAATTAAAAGGCAACAACATCAACAAAATACATGCTGATTTTGTCTGACTGCACCCTACACAGCATTAACAATATGTATTTGTACTGCATTAGGGCTCAACAAGGTGGGATTGAAATGTTTCTATAAGGGGTGGCAATCTATCTCCCTGCATTTTCTA